AACAAAACAAAACACCATGTTGTTGTTGTTGTTATGTGCCGTGTTTAATCGCATGTGACTCATAGCAACTCTATATACAAGAACTCCAAACCCTTCTCTATCCTAAGCCAACCTTATTATCTCTTACCCACCTACTCCCATTATTACCCCAATCACTGAGTCATCCCCTCTTCCCAAGAGTGAAGTCTATCTCTAAGGGGCAACCTTTCACTCTCTCTGGGATGAACTTCTTTGTTCTCCTTACAGTCCATGGTATATTCATTACTCTTCTTTAGCACCCCAGCTCAAAGATATCAATTCTCCTTCTATCATCCTTAGTCATTGCCCAGCTTTCTAACGCATAGCAAGTAGTTATAAAGAGTATGACTGGGATTAGGTGCATCTTAGTCTCCAGACTGATGTCATTGTTCTTCAATACTCTGGAGAGGTACCTAAAAACAGATTTTCCCAATGTAATCTTTTTATTTCCTGGCTGCTGGTACCAAGAGTGTTGATTGTGGATCCAAGTAAACTGTTAACAACCTCAATCTCTTCTCCATATATTATGGTGCTGCCAATTGGAACAGTAGTGAGAATCTTTATTTTCTTGATGTTGAGCTTCAATCCATATTGAAGGCTGCAGGCCTATACTTTCTGCAGCAAGCACTTCAGATCATCCCAAGTTTCAGCAAGCAAAGTTGTGTCATCTGCATATGCAGGTTACTGATGAGTCTTCCTCCAATCCTGATGCCACATTCCTCCTCAGAGAGCCTAGCCTCCCAGGTGATCTGTTCTGCATATAGATTGAAAAGGTATGAAGATAGGGCACATTCCTTGTATATAGCTTTTCCAATTTTGAACCATGCAGTATTTCTTTGCTCTGTTCTGCTGACTGCCTCCTGGTCCAAGTATAGGTTTCACATAAGCACAATCAAGTGTTCTGAGATTACCATTCTTCTCAGAGTTAGCCAAAGTTTGTTGTGATTCACAGTTAATAGAGACATTACAAAGGTAAAAAATAGAAGTACGGAAAACTCTTGATAAGCTGAAAGTACATTACAATTTGCCAGATATAAAAGTAAACAATAAAAATATTTTTGTGTTAAAATAAATTGACTTAAAAAATCAACCATAAGATAGATATAGGGCTTGTGTAATTTAAGTTGTATAATTAAATTTATAGAATCAGCTATGAGTCAGGTCCAACTAGATTACATCCAAAAACAACACATCAATTTGTATGAAATGCCAAGAATAGCAAATATATAGAGGAAAGTATTTTCTGAAGGGACTTGA